GCTGAGCTGGGTCAGGGGGGTCCGAGGGGGATAAAGAAGCTTGGTCATCGCGGCTCTGTAAGCAGTGAGTCAGTGTTTTGGGAAAGCTCCAAAAAAAAGAAGTGCTTCTGACGGCAGACAGAAGGAAGCGCAGAGCGGCCGCACCGCACTCCCCTTGGCCCTCGTCACCACGAGGACTGTCAATAATTGAGAGGGGAGGAAGTAGCTTCTTCAAACCATGACACAACACCTTGTCATCTTCTGCTCCCATGGGAGCAAGAGTTAAACAAACAGTGTGTCTTTACTATCCACACACGGGGCACGCTCATCTTGAACTTGGGAGTAGTTGAGTAGAGACTGGATGTTACTTACTTAAAAAAGAATGTGCTGAACTTCTGGTTCCCATTTCGTCTGATTCATTTACTTTAAAGTGGACCTATCATGCTATATTTAAATGATATATTGTAGGGCCATACCTATATAAGGTATATTTATACGTTTCTGTTTTCAAAAATACCAAACAGATCATGCATTTTAGCCATGCCTCATTTCGCTCTATGTGCTGTTTGCTGTCTACGGATCTGATTCTGCTGACCACGCCCCCCTGCAGGAGAGGGGAGACGTGCTCTGATCAGCTGCTGGGCTGTCAGAAGAGGGGGAGAAAAAGAGATCTCCGTCCTCCGTGTTTTATTATATAGAGTCGTTATTCATTTGTTTTAAAGCTCAATAAATAACAAAGAAGACCTTTGACCGGCACTTTTCTAATTTTGTCCGGAAGATTTCAACTTTAACAGACATCTTGACCGGCGAAACAAACTGAAACTGAAACTCTGCCGCACGGTCCCCTCGTTCCTTGGAAGAGGCGGAGAGGTGGGTGTTTATCATCTGCTGGTGGACTAACCGGAGAGAATTACAGTGCTTGCCTCGACGGGGAGGGATTGCATTGCAGCGGGAGCAAACGCTTGCCTCGGGGAGGGAGAAAAAAAGCCACAGCGGAGAATAAACAGAAGGGTAACCATGGTAACTATGGGCGGGAAGTCTTCTTCGCTGCTTTTGTGGCAGACTACAGCGCCACTTACAGGCCTGGCATATGTACTACAGCGTCTCCAGCGCTTTCGAACGGCAATGGCCGTGGCTGTCTCCTCCTGATTGGTGGAGTTGGCCCAATAGCCGTAGCGCCACCGTCCTGACGTCAGGACAGTGTTCAAATCTGGATCAGTTTTTATCAGATCCGTTGCAGCCCCTTTTTTAGAGATTTGGGTATGGAGGAAAATAGAGAGGGTTGTGTTTTCTGACACTTGGTGAGTTCCCTGGAACACCGGGGACACATATTCATGTATAAAAGACGTACAAAAGTGCATTTTGCATGATAGGTCCCCTTTAAGTGTAGTTCCTATTCAGATAAAAAAAGAGCTAGACCGACATACTGTATCACCCAGGCCAATTTTAGCTAATTGCAGACAATGAGGAATGGTCGGACGATAAGTGCAGCACAGGAATCTTAAATTAGGTTTGAGGTCATTAAGAAACTATGTAATTGTCACATAGTTAGTTTGTTTTCTGTAAAATCCTGTTCAAATAAAAAACATTTGAAAGACTGCTGTTCTCAAATATTAATATTGGCCTTAAGAAATCCCTCTGGCAGTAGTTACTTTTGCTTGGTACTTATTGTCAGATCTTGTTCAATGGTAAAATATACTGCCCTCAGGACATATCTTTTGAGGACACAATAATCAAAGCATTGACCCCTACCAAATAGTATTTGTATTATTCCCTTTCATACCACCTATATTGTTTAAGTGATGATGAACCAAAATAAGACAGGGGACCAAGTGATGAGAAACATATCTCACACAGTCTGTTACTGTGACCAGTAAACAAATCAACTGCTTTTGATGGATTAAACAGTCGTCACTAAAACCAGACTTGTTCACAGACAAAAACAGGAAACTCATAACCCACAAGGGGCTGTAGACTAGACTGAAATACACCTAATCATTAGTAAATTACATTTATATAGTGCTTAACTAGAATATATTCATAGATTTAGTGTTTGAATGGTCTTTGTAATGCACAATCATCTTGTTTCCCACTGTCTTAACCTTTTCATTTTTGTTAAGTGTGGTTTTGGTGAAGAATGAAAAATAGTTTCTGAGTTTAAGAAAGATATTTCAGTATGCTGTAAAATGCTTTGCTTTAAAAATTCCTCAGCTCCCAGATTGTGGAGCCCCCTGCACTCCCAGCCAAACAACCAGTCTGAAGCTCAGTGGACACAAGAGCATCTCCCCGAGGCTACTGTTTTCACAAAAACAAGACACTTCTGGGGTTTTTCTCTGCAGCCTCACAAACTGAGGCCCCGGCCACACGAGGACGATAACGGTCGTATCTGCTACAGTTCACTATCAGATAGACGGTTCGGCCACACAAGGCCGACATGGAAACGCAGAAAACGATAACGATAACGATAACGGGTCCCAAGGTGGGTAGATCTGCAAACGAAACGCTCTGGGGGGACAAACGGCTCCTTGTTTACGCCTATACGATCATTTCCTGATAACGTTGAAGCAATAGCCCCGCCTATTTCAGTGGAACAATCCAGTGTTAACATCAATGCTTTTTTCTCTTTTCTTGTGTTACTAAGATCCTTTTAGATACACTTTGATGTATGCAACACTTAACAACTTGTAGAATATGAAGTACTTTGCAGAGGTGGGACCAAGTCATTGTTTTGCAAGTCCGAGTCAAGTCTCAAGTCTTTGCGCTCAAGTCCGAGTCAAGTCTCAAGTCTTTGCGCTCAAGTCCAAGTCAAGTCTCAAGTCAGGATGGGAAAGTTCATGTCAAGTCCAAGTCCTAAACTTTGACAAAACGAGTCTTAAACAAGTCCTTATGTGCTTTTCAACAAATGTAATGACATCGATCAACAGAATAATACTTAATAATCAAACTGCTCTTTAGTAGTCACATTAATAATTTAATAATCCATTTTCTCTCTGCTGGTAAAGTAACGTGTTTTTCTTCTATTGTAAGAGGGATCAGTAAGGTAATGCTACCATGACGGTTTGATTCAGAAGGAGTTTAATGTATAAGATCCCTGATGTTAAGGTAACCAGAATGTTTATTTCCACTGTGTACAACATGTTATAAGGGACCCACGATCTATCTTTATGCAAGGGATAATGTGCAGCGAGGCGTCTCTATGGGGAAAAGAACACCTGAATCTAGATCCCTCTGCAGGTGGTACTTTAAGTATATTTTGATGCTAATACTTTTGTACTTTTACTTGTAACATTTTGAATGCAGGATCTTTTATTGTAACCGAGTATTCCTACACTCTGGTACTGTTACTCAAGTACAAGATCTGAACTTCTCCCACCTCTGGCAATAAATCCTGAGTGGTTACCAAAACAAAAAAAACCCTGCTCTGAAGGTTATTTTCATTTTCATTTTCAAATCCTGCACTCAGCTTTGCTTTCTCCAATATCATTGAAATGCAGCCAGATGCTGCTTCTTTTTTTCGGTTTTCGCAAATTTCTTGACTTTTTCCGACGCGCTTGCATTTAAATCCGTCTCCCCGTGGCTCTGTAGCTGGCCTGTACCACTACACCTGCTGTCTTTGGAGCGTCTGCCCCCCACCCTTCTTTCACATAATGGTATGATCCTAGTGTGTCCTCGCATATGATTGGCCGCATGGTGGCTCAGCAAAATAAAGACCCGCCCCTGCCTGCAAGGATTCTCAGCAAGAGTTGGAGCGGCTGAAGATTCTGCTCTCCCCGACGGGAGTCTGCTCTTCTAGCGGCATCTCGCGATCGGCGTGTTGGAGACCCCTGAATTAAAGTATCAAGTCACCTCAAGTCAGAAGGCTCAAGTCCAAGTCAAGTCCCGAGTCATTGGTGTTCAAGTCCAAGTCGAGTCGCAAGTGTTTTGTGATTTTGTCAAGTCGAGTCCAAAGTCATCAAATTGGTGACTCGAGTCTGACTCGAGTCCAAGTCATGTGACTCGAGTCCACACCTCTGCTGCTTTGTAAGGAATTGGGTTTCTTTTAATGGCTGTTTTTTTATTTTAACACTTGTTCAGTTAAACAATGTAGTTTTTTTTCTGATAACCTTACATATTTTAGTTATTTTTTCTGATACCAAGATACTTTTTTTGATACACTTTTATGTAGGAACATTTTACAACTGGTAGATTGTTAATTACTTTGTAACAAATGTATTTTCTTAAAGACTGTGACTCTAAAAGGCAAGTTTGTGATTTCTAACTATATACTATGACCATTCTTTTCTTATTTATAATATGGTTCAAATGGAGTAATTGGAGTTGTCTGATGCACTTGATACAATTTGACGTGATGTGTGATGTTCAAAACCATTTCAACACACAATGTCATTACTTTTTTTTTCAAGATCTTTTAGACAAACTATACTATGACTTTCTTTATTTTTTTTTAAATCCTATACTGACATTGCAGACAAACTACATAATATAATTCTTAACTACATACTATACTTGGACTTTTTTTTCAAGATACTTTTGACATACTATACTAGTACTTTTAAAAATAAATGTACGGACATTCTACACTGTGACTCTTTTTAAATTATATATATGAAATACTATACTAAGACTATGAACAGATTTATGCTTTTTTCTCCTACAAAGATACTTATAGTTACACTTTAATGGATGCAAAACTTTACAACTTGGTAAAATATGAATTAATTTGTAATGAATTGAGTTTCTTAAAGAATCAAACTCTAAATGGAAAGTTTGTGATTTGAACACTGTTTCGGTGAAACAATACAGTTTTAATAACTTTAATAACCTGACTTTTTTTAAATGTTTTTTTTAGATGCTTTACTGTGAATTATTTCATGTTATTCTAACATAACGTTTTCATATTTTCCCCATACTGTGCTATTTTTTTTCCCTCTATGACTTTGTTCATTATATTTTGAAAAACTACACAGAGATTTTTATCAACATACAACTCACTTTTTGTGAAATATTTCAACATACTTTACCTGTACCTGCTTTTCTTTTTTGAAGGGTTCCAAGATATTTTGCACGTCATGCATAAAACCTCTCATCTTTCTTGAAACTGACATACATTTGAGAAAAAATACGTGCTGTCCTTTTTACAAACAAGTTATTTTTCTGCTTCTTCCTCGCCCGTGTCTCTTCCTTCAACCAACACAACAATCAAGTCAGATCTATCAAATTAATCATCTACCTCTTCCTTTCCCCCACCCTAGGGTCCAGAGTCAAAACACCTCCCCCTCCAGACCCTCCCCCCTTCTTTTACCTCCCTTTCCTGTTTTTATGGTCAGTCCCTGTGACTCTGTATCTGGCAGGTGTCCCCACACTGTTGGTTTAAACAAAAATAAGTAATCTTTCAGATAATCTAGTGCCTTTCTCACAGTAGAGGGTTTAAAAAAGAAGAAGAATAGACATCTCTGAGGGATGTAACATCACAGTTTTAGTGAAAATCCTTTCTTTACATGTCACAGTTTCTTTACTCACAATGTTTTTGAGATAACAGTATCTCCCATTGTCTCACACACACACACACACACACACACACACACACACACACACACACACACACACACACACACACACACACACACACACACACACACACACACACACACACACACACACACACACACACACACACACACACACACACACACACACACACACACACACACACACACACACACACACACACACTCTGTGTCATAAAGGGAGAAGAACGAGTCAGGAAGACTGACGGACATGTTCTCCCAGCTCTCCTACAAAGATGCTTTTTGAATTGAATAACCAGATGTTTACAGATGTACAATTAATGATTGTTTTTTATATTTCCAATGAACACACATGTGTTAAATAGTGATGATTAATATATTTTTGTCGGATCAGATTACACTTTCGCAATTAATAAATAAATATTTTCAGATTATAAGGTATTGAATAATAAGGTATTTCTACTATTATCACAGATAATGTTAATATCCTTAATTGTCCAGCAATCAGGCTTAACAACACTACTCTTTAATGTATTATCCATGCACAGACAGACCTACAAGGATGTTTCAAGTACTGGATTAATTTAAGTTTTGGCCCAAAACAAATATGTATAATAATTCATATAGTATAATTTTAAAGAAATTGATATTCTATATTCAACATTAGATAAACACAGAAGAACCCTTTCCAAGTACCATAAGTCGATTTTCAGGTAAGTATGGCTAATAAGAATAATTAATTGAGTTAATTTGGTACAGATCAGTTGTAGCATTTACAAATGTATGAATTAAAGTTTTAGGAATGTTTCTTCCTTTCCAGGTTTTTACAAAAGTCTTTGAATATTTGCCTAACTTTTCCTTTTCAGATTGTTACAATATACTACAAATGTCTGACTTTTCCTTTTCAGACTTTGAACAATGTACTTGACTAAAATGAATGTATTGATTTTACTAAGACTAAAGTGCCTTACTCTTGACTAAAGCGTAATGAAGTAAACGTAAATGTAATCCTAAATTGAAGACACTGCAGTTTGGCAGATTACAGATTGATCAAATCACCACTAAGAATGTTATACCTTAACTGGATCTCTTATGATCCTGATTGTATACCTTAACTGGATCCCTTTTAAATGCTTTTGACTAGTGATTGCCTTGAAGTAAATCTTTAAGCTGCAAGCTGGTTTTGATTTTATAGTTTAAAGTGGACCTATCATGCTATATTTGAATAATATAGTATAGGACCATACCGATATAAGGCATATTTATACTTTTATAGAGAGGGTTGTGTTTTCTGACACTTGGTGAGTTCCCTGGAACACCGGGGACACATATTCATGTATAAAAGACGTACAAAAGTGTATTTTGCATGATAGGTCCCCTTTAATAAAGGAGATTAACTAATGGTTCAATGTTAAATCATATTAGTTTAAAATAAATGTTTTTGCTATTATGTATCTGTGATTTTACATGTGTTCATTATTATGCTTTTGACAAAAGATGCTCCACACACTGACGGGAGATGATTTTTCTATTATGATTGGCTGTCTCAATCATTATGATTGAATGTTTCAATCTTATGTTGTTATTAACGTGATTGTTATTGATGTAATTGATGTTGTGTAAGTTCACACTCAAATCTGAAGATTCTCATTGATTTAAGTATTGAACAAATTATTATTAGAATAATTATTTAATCAAAATTGATAAAAAGAGAGGAAATGTTGGGGAATAATTTGCTTAGGTATTCAACCTTTGACACAGTTCATAATTTTCCTCTTTTCACTGTCTCCTTTCCCATGGCATAGGTCTACGGCCTTGGGTATTGCTGCTATCTCTCTTAAGGAAGGGCAGCTTGGGCACATTGTTGTTGCCAGTTTATGACCGAGCACAAGCTGACATGAGATAGTTGATTGTTCAAGGACATCTAGAAGCCCTTCTTTTTAGGAACGTAGGTTTCCTGGCGCACATTATTTTCTATGGACGACAGCTCTAGTTAGATTCAGGGTCCATATTTGTTTAGTCTCGCTGATAAAGAATGTTGATTATTACACTCCGAACTAGTTAAAACCTCGAACTACAGAAGAGTTCTTCAGAATTGATTGTGGCATCTCAACCGTGTGGTCAACTCGTGGCCCTTTGACATGTCTTGTGAATTCTCCGGCCGAAGCTCCAAATAAACAGTCAGTGTTTGCCATCAAAGCTCCAGCTCTCCTCTGTCTCTCTGAGTCCTGACTCCTATTGCTTCAGAAGTTCCCCCACACTAACAAAAAAAAACTCAACCATCAACATCTGCTCTCAGAGATTAAAAGTGTAAAAGATTTACACCAGTGGCAATGGGTTCAAAATATTTGCTTTTACAAAGAGACTTAAAACTAGTTACAGTAATAGCAGCTGAGACATTTTGCTAGCAACAAGCCAGGAGCAAAAATATGTAGACAGAGCAGGACTCTTCTACACTCCATAACAAATTAGAAAAGATGCCATAAAAAAATAGTTTAATGCCTTTTTGGTTTTTCATCTGTAGCAAAATGTGACTATAAGTGCATTATGTTGCACAGCCTTGTGTTGTGCAATGATCCTCGTATGACTAATGATATCACTGATGTGTGAAAAACCTGGCATTATTGGCAGTTTAAAAAAAAAAAGTCTGCTGTTGTGTTCACTTGGAAACTCCATTAATACAGAATAGATACCAGAGTGTGGTATGTGACACACAGTACATGTTTACTGTACAGGCAGATCAGGGGTGTCCATCTATGATGTCCTATCTACTAACTTTTCTCTCTATCTTACAGTCACCTCGATTAGTTTTCCAACAGTGTGTTGTGAGGATCGAATGAGGTCACTGTGTGTGAGCTGCCAGCTAATTCACATGGTGGGCTGGAAAAAAACCCATTTGTTTTTTAGGGCAATAGCTCCCCCTGTTGCCACAAATAACAAAATGTCCGACATAGTTTAACAAAATAACCCAGATGTTGGCCTCCGGTTTTAATACAACATAAACCTGACATATGTTCAGAGAAAACAGTCAATAATGCAAACGCTGATGTCTGATACAGAATTATTATGAATTTGACGACAGCCTGATAAGAGTGGAGCAGTAACAGATGCAGGACAGTGGTGTTGTTTTTTGTACAAGTTTATATGGCTTAGGAGGTGTAATTACTGCATCAATGTAAACTAGAAATCCAAATCAGGTTACTTATGGTATGAAGCTGGCAATATAATGTTGTATCCTCCCAGTTTTGTTCAGCGGCTCTTTGCTGATGTATAAGGGAGGAAAAAAGGGCTGAAACTAAAGATTATATTCATTGATGAATCATTTTTAATGTTGTCCCAGTATTCTTTCCCTTTCTTGTCCATCTGTCCTTCTATCTAATTAAAGTATAACAATGTCAAAAAGATATCTTCAAGAAAATAAGTCCGAAAATGGTGGGGAAAAGAATGGTGGTCGTTCAGTGTTTCCCAGCCCAAGATAATGTCCTTAAATGTCTTGTTTCATCCACAACTCTGTCGTTCCAGGTGAAGATGAGTGTAATCCTGACCTCACCTAGCATGTTTTGAGCTTAAGTCATTGTTTCTCGGCATGTCTGCAGATGCAGTGTGTCTGTGGTCACCGAGGTGGCTTCAGGAGCTCCTGCAGGTCTCCCTGGGGTGCCAGCTGGAAGGGAAGCAGCAGCCTGTTGTTCGCCTGGCTGCAGAGCGCTGCACAGCTCTCCATCAGCAGCAGACACACCTCTTCATGACCTCGTTCTGCAGCCTGCTCAAGCATTAACAAATACAGGCATGTGGTTGGGGTTAGAGACAATGTTGTTGGAAAGCCTATATGTTACTATGGTAGATTGAGTCATGGAGTTTTTTAAAGGGTTGACATACAATCTTTGAGCAGATGTTTATTTGGTGGTGCAGTTTATTTTATACTGGTACTTCTGTACCTTATGTAGAGGAGAAGAACCGTCGTCATCGCAGAGCATTGGGTCTGCTCGGTGCTGCAGCAGGAGTCTGACCACATCCAGATGACCGCAGTAAGCTGATCGATGGAGTGGCGTGGCACCGCCTGGTGTCTGGGGAGATGCACAAGCACCACTCTCAAGAAGAAACTTGCAGACAGCGTGATGACCACTGCGACTTGCATAGTGCTGAGATAAAACCCACAACAAATGATACAATAATTTTAGATGGATTAAAACACTTGATGCTGCACACAAACATATTCCCAGAGAACTCACCAGAGCTGTGTAACCAGTAGAGTCTCTCAGGTTAGAGTCTGTGCCCTTCTGGGTCAAAGACTTGACCCTCTCCAAGTCCCCATCCATAGCAGCAGACCAGATACCTGCATAGAAGAATGACACACAGCACTGTACTTCCAGAAAACTATTGCCAAGGTGAAAACAAATCATTTAATACATGTTATGTATTTTCAGAACTCTATTAGACTATGGTTTATGACAGGTGAATGCAAACCTCGCTCAAAATCCATTTCACTCAGCGTCTGGTAAACACTGGGAGAGGAGACTGGATTAGTGCAACACGAACATTGTGGTCTGTCAGTCGCCATTGTGCATAACAAAATAGTTACATGCACTTTCAAAACAAAAGCTAAAGACTTGTTTTTGAGCTACAATCATGCATCTCCATGATGCTGTTTGACACTTCCGTGTTTTCTTCTTCTATCTTTGGTGGTCGACAACTTGG